TTCCGTGAAAGGTGGGGATCCACTGGAGATGATGAACGCATGGGGCGGCAATCGACAAGCCGTAATGACGAAATTGAGCTTGTCCGCAATGACCGTCGGCAATCAAACGGTACCTATGTTGTACCATTGAATTTCTAACCAATCGTGGAGTGCCATTGCTCCCACATTCTTTGTATTCCTTGGACCTCGAACCTTACGACTTCAGGCTGATTCCAAGAATGAGGTGCCTTCGATGAATGGCCGACGCTTCGACGACGTAGGCGCTTGCCAATCAACTTGCGACCAACGCGTTGGACAAATTTGCTAGGAATGGGTTACAGTCTGTTCTAAGCTCTTTACAAAAGAAAGAAACTGTGTGTTGCAAGTCAGGTTGAACTAGGAGGTTGACTGGAAAAAATTAAGCAACTTTAACATTTTTTCATACAGATAAATTCTTCAGCGAATTGACGTGAAAATGTAAGGATACCTTGTTGACGAGGTTCTTCAAGAGCTGTTGAAGTACAGTATATGCACCCTTGCCCATCTACTCATGAGTCATGACAGATTTAATCGAATTGGTCAAATTTTCTGAATGAACAGGCATGCAACTGCCAATGGGGAGGTACGAATCTGCATTTGATTTTTGCTTAATGGATCAGTTCCTCTGGGATGATCCTCGCGATAAAATTAATAGAAATTTGTCAAAAATGTGTAATCATCCATAAAAAGTTCATGCATCTGCATGCATTTTCAGGGATCCTCATGCAATTTGGATTTGTGCCTCGCAATGGCAGTCGGCTGCCTTTTCTTTGCCATCTCAACAAAATATGCCATAATTCATGAATGGGTATCCATAAATTCATATAATTTCAAGAGCTCTAGGAAAACATTGTAGCCAACGTTCCATGAAATTTTCAGACTAATCAATTACAAGGAATGGATTCTAAAGAAAGCTTTCAAGTTGCATTCTTTTCTTGTCATCAATGCATTCCAAAAAGGATCATTCTGAAACAGAGCGTCTGCACATAGTTTGCTCATATGAAAACCGGATCTGGACCTTTTTGATATGTCCACGTACATACTGTACTATATATCACGACTCCCGTAATATGCCCTATACGCAGAAATGAGGAATAAGTAATTTCCACTTCACCCTTATACGGAGATATGCTTATATTTAATACATCGTAAAAAAGAAATGAGAAATGAAACACCGCTAATTTGATTTAAAATTGATCTCATCAGAAGGAGACAATAAAATTCGTAAGATGAAAGGAAGAGGTCAATAGATCGTATCACGCAAAGAAATGCAAACCACCCGTCGGCAGATCGTATGATCTGGTAGAAAGGACCTGTACGACCCGCCGGCGGCTCGTATGACCCAAGAGAAGAGAGAACGTACGACCCACCGGCGGGTCGTATGGCCTAGGAGGAGAGAGCCCTTACGACCCGCCGGCGGGTCGAATGGCGGCGAAAGTGTTAAACTCCTAAAGATAAAAAACCTTAAGGGAGAGATCCTAGGGGGGAATCAGCTCTCTACCAGACTGACTTCTCCCCCATAGCCACGAGTCACCTTCTCAGGGGTAAGTCATTAGCTTCATGAGGGTCTTTCTCTGCCAGCCATCACGTCGGGAGAATCTCACCATGGTGGGCGAGAGTCATGTGTCGATCCACCACATGACCCTCACATCATGCCTTTAGTTCCTATCTTTTTAAATAAATGAGAAAGATTCTCATTATCTGAAAGGGGTTTCTGTAAAGAGATGCTGTGCACCGGTTCTGTCTGCCATTTCCCTACGCTCTGTGGAAAATTATCGTTTTCTCACCACGGAAGGAAGTGAGCTCGCGGATACGCCATTCTGCCCATCCATGAGACAGATGTGCGCATGGGCGGAGAGATGTACTAGTACAGGCAGTACTCGTACTGGAGATGCCCCACCATGGGAGGACCTCTACTCGGTAATGAATATAGAGCAGTAAGCAGCGCCAATGTTGACCCCGGTGGTCATCCCATTTAGTAGTAATCTCGGATGTAGATTGTTGATAACATTAGGAATTCGGCGAATGCGTTTCTTAATCAACGTTATGAATTGGATCGCCAATATCCTTTTCCACCAGAATTCAGGAAATGTGGCTTTTTCGCACGTTAGACTTTTCGCACGACCCAAAAAGAAAAAAGAAGATTCCCAGGTGAGGCAAGGCAACGAGTAGAGCCATACCGTGGAGAAAATGCTTGTAATATGAATCGAAAGCTCGCTGTCTTCGCCAAGTTTCTAAACGATTCCTTCAGAGGTCTTCGGGGTCGATTACATATAAGTCGTTTATAAATATTGCAGACTTTAAAAAGGGCCACTCATAGGTTTTATTCGCCATTCATCAGAAACATGAAGCTAGGAGTGGGCTACAGTTCCCCCCCCCCCTTCCAACTCCTACACTTTCCCCACTTTCCTTATGCCAATATGATATGAATCATCCTCCCAGCCTCAATAGCAGAGCGCAGGCAGCGCAGTGAAGGAAATAAATCAAACCGCATGAAATGCAAAATGCAAAACATCAACGAGCATGAAATGTGGCGGCAGGACGTCTTTGAATGCCCACCACGCGGAACGACGTGGGAGTCGGAGGTCGTGCGATTCCGCCCGTGAGGGTATGCGCGGGGGACCGAGCTGACCTCGGTCGTCAGTACCGCGTACCGAGTTTTGCACACGTGACCCATAAAAATAAAACAAAGAAACATAAAATGGAGTACGACTAGTACCGGAGAACGCCACTCTTGAAAAAGGAAAAGAAGCCGCGCTGCAGCACCGATCAGAAGCACAGAAATATAAGCATCAGGCGTACACAGAAAATTTATTTCAAATGAATTGGAGAAATTTAGGAAAATTAGGCATTGTCTAATGTCGATTTCCAAGCGTTTCCAAGTCGATTTCGTTGATTGCTTCCCACTCCCAAAGTGCCAGTGATTGCAGCTTCACAGAATGTCCCGACGATCGGGCAACACTGGGATTATATTATTATGGTGTGTCTCAAGCAGTCGTTGTAAATTTAAAGGCCTGTATATTTGTTGTCACATGGGAACATGCCAATGTTTATTTTCGACTATTTTACAGAGTTGAACTGCAGATGACACAACGAGGTCCGGATATCTATGAAAAATTATAAATGGTCATAACTCTGTTCCCTGCTTCGGGTTAAAAGGCGACAAATTGCTTCTAAATGTGAGCAGTCAGATAAATCCTGTAATTGTATTTTTTCTTTTCCTCTGTGAAACATATCCATGAGGAAGATTTATGTGGGAACTATTTTTTCACTGGAAAATATGACTGTCTATTTATTACCCCCTGTTTTTAATGTTTTGCCATTGGCAAAAATGGCGGGAAAAAAATCGATGCAAAGGTAAAAATTATGTTTAACAATTCATCATCTTCCATCTCATTACTAAGAGTTCCAAAATCCGTTCTGTCTGCCGCAGTTCTAAGCTGTAGGTGTCACCCGAAACCTGGTGGCGAGAACTGTCGGGTCGAGAGCCCAAACAGTTCTCCCGTTTTCGCATTATGAGGCATAATTTCGACGATGAGAATAGCATCGGGCTGAATGCCTTCCCTGGCTGTTTGCTCACAACCAACAATGAGAGTATGAGGCATTGTCGGCAACAGAAGTTTTTGCTATGGTAACTGCTGGTAACGATCATATGTACTTTGCCGCGCTTGCCTGTTAAGACAGTGCTTCGAGTATATTTGCAGCATCGAGTTGGTACTGCAATATTATTAAGTTTTAAGTGTTGGTGCTCTTAAAACGCCCGAAAAAGTGTGGAAGTTTCCCATATTCTGTGGCCAGAACTACAGAATGTGAGGGAAAGAGAGAAATTCTGGAGTCTGTCACTGGGCAAAAGTTCACGACGACGTTCACAAAACGCTGCTTCGCGGGATGCGGCCAAGAATAGTGAGATGCTGAAATGGAAGTGAGATGCTGAAATGGAAGTGAGATGCTGAAATGGAAGTGAGATGCTGAAATGGAAGTGAGATGCTGAAATGGAAGTGAAATGCTGAAATGAAAAACTCCATGCTTGCCTAGCCTACAATCCACACATTAACATCAAAATTCTTACTTATTTTCTTACCTTTCTCAGCGAAAATATGCACAAACGCAATCTACTCATCAAGGGCTTGCGACTGATATATATATCACATTTACCATTCGACGGGTGATCCACTTCGGAAGTCTTTCCTTCAAAAGTAAATTTCTTACCAGCTAGAGAATTTCAATTAGTAATCAAATGTGAAGAGCATCGTGTAGATCTAAGAGACTACATAGTCCGATCCAAGAGAGAGCACTAAAGTAGCAGCATCGGGAAGAAAATACCTAATTTACTTTCAAATTATTTGACCAATTAGCATGTTAAATTTTTCTTGCAAGCCATGACAATTATTTAATGAGACTACGCACTCCTCCATATGACCCTTTTCTTCATGGTTAGGCGATTCGGTGAACTGCGCAACACGTATTTAGATTGCGACAATGGTATTCAGCTCGTATACGTTGAGTGAACATAGTTTAACCTTACGGGGTCCCCGCCCGAGTTATCGCGTGTTTGCTAAATTAAGGATAAAAACAATTTGGATGCCAGTGCTGACGCATTCAAAATATTCCGGCAACAAAGGGTTAAACATCTAGTTTTCAAGGCTTGACGAAATCAATGCATTCATATATGATATGATTAGTTTCCCCTTTATTTTTAATAAAAATGTGTTTCCCATTATTCCATGACGATAGCTCAAACGACTTCTACGTATTAAAAATCAAAATTTGATATTTAGCATTATAATGATCATAATGTTTGGGAAAAAGTGTCAATCCCACATGGAAATACTTATTTGTGCAATGCAAAAAGCAGCCGGTGGCGTAATGATATTGCCCATCATTTTACCATAATGATTACTAGCATTCAACTAATAAAGATACAACCAAGGAATAATGTCATTCTAAATCATAAGAAATACAAGGCATGTATATATGCCGTGTCAGTTGATTTTGAGAAATTCCATGAGTTCCTCTCCAATGCTCTTGCCTTTTGCTACTTCTGCCTTCACCGCCCTCGATGAGCGTTTCATATATGCATGGAAGAAGAAATTCAGAAAGAGCAAGAAGTAGGAGAGGTACATGAGGAAGGAGACGTAGATGTTTTCCCATGGAGTTTCGCAGTGGAGTCCGGCCTTCTTCGCCAAATAGGCGTAGACGCTGATGTATATGCCGAACACCATCTGAGTCAGCTGGAAGAGCGTGATGAACATGGCGATTCGGCGCGGCACGCGGATCTTCGCCGCCCGGGCCGCGTAATAGGAATACATGAAGGCGTGGACCAGGCCGTTAAGCGTAGCCCCTAACCGGGCCGCCGGGATGGCCTGGGCGCAGGAGTACCACGTGTACAGCAGGACGGTGAGGTGATGATACCAGTGAAGAAAGATGAGGCGCTGCTTCCTCAAGATGATGAAGGCCGTGTCGCCCAGTTCACCTACCTTAGAGAGCACGAATACGAGCGCCCAATTCGCTGCCACTGGGTTGTGCCGCATATGGCTAACAAAAAGAAAAAGAAAATGAAAACAATAATCCAGTACTGAAGTAAAAAAAAATTATTCGAGAAAACAACCGACAAATAAGATACAATTTACTAAGACTGTCAATTACATTAGATTAATCGAGTAAAGTATTAATCGCGATTTTAAGAATTGGTCGAAAATAATTGAATTTCAATAGACCCCCTAATTACCTCTGAATGCCTAATTTTTCCCTCATATTTTTGCTGTGTAGTTTATAGTTCTGCAAAACAACCGAAAACGAATGCTTTATCGAGAGATTGAAATACAATGATAGCTTATACAGAGTAGCCCACCATTGTCTCCCCAAAGGCAAAAGCCAATTACTCAAGAAGTATGCATCTGGTTTCAATCATATCGGACTCACATGATAGCCAATTCAATGTATTTTTACTGTGGAAAATGTCAGCATTGCGTATCAAAACGAAACAAAGTTACATCCTTACAAATGAAAGCCCCCAAATCATAAGTGTTCAATAATGTCCTGCTTCAGTATATCTAGGTAGTCATAGGTCCGCCGATAAAATCTGGGTAAAAATATCAAATCTCCTTTGAGGTTAAGAAACGTCTTATGAATTGCCTCCATGATCTGCTCATCGGGAACTTAGGCATTTGCGCCCCAAGCTGAATAAATTTTCATATTTCCCCAAATATGAAGAGTTTGAGAGTTTGAAGAGCACCCAAATTGTGCTCTTCAAACTATCAAACCGGGTGAAAATTTTCGTCTTCTGGAGTATACTGAAGTCACACGACGCAGACAATCCCTTACAACGCATGAAAAACAAACATATGAATTGCGAATTTCAAAATGGATTGTAATATTTATCAATTAATTTTTTCATCAGTTATACCAAATTGGGTACTTTCATTTGTTAGGATGTAATTTTGTTCTAGTTACTAATGCGATCCTGAAATTTTCCTCAGTTTCTTTGTTTTCGCCTCTTAGTGGTGAAAGCAAAGAAAAGGAAAGACGTCAGACCATTAATCCGGCACCAACCTTTTATATCAGAATTTGTGCCAACCTTCTCTCGAGGATGAAAAATTCGAGAAATAAATAATGCAACTTTCCTCTCAAGTCTAGCTTGAAACATAGAGAAAATGCCGCAGGGCCACATTTGCTTCGCTCAAAATACATCGCTCAACTCCTCATGTACATCTCATGTGCATCTACGTTGTGTACATTGCGTGCATGATATATATTGATAGTATATATTGATAATATGCTGCGACTCTTCACTCTCATGCATGAAGAAAGCTGATTTGCGACCCTCTTGAGTATTCCCTATGGAGATATGCAGCTAATTAGCTGTGCCCTCTCTGGAAATTGTCTGGTCTTCCTCTTTTGATGACTCGACGGGTAGACCGCTTCATTAGGAATAAAAGATGATGTTCATCGTTTACAACTCTGGCTTCAACAGATGCAGCAGCCCAAACAGGACCGCAAATTTTGTATCTGGGGGCTACGCAAAATCCCTAATTTTGCATTCTACAAGACGACACTTCCAGAAAACTTTATTCTTACCGTTTCAGAAATGCCTATTTATGTTATCACATCCTTGTGCTGTAAACGTCATATCCTGGAGGAATTTTTCGATGCCATGTCGATATTCCACCGAGGTCAGTAGAAAGGTACTCCAAAAATCTCAGAGTTTCCTCGCCGACAGACACCGACGGACTCGTAATTCATCACTTGGAATCCCTTCTTTTGTAAGGGAGAAAGTAGGAATGCAAGCAAGAGGAAAGATGTGCATTTCTTTCCTCTGCTCCGTATGTTTCCGATAAATCTGCTTCATGAGGGAATTTCGTGACACTCGGCCGCTTCGACGGGAACTGGATCCCGCTCCGATCCCAGCCCGTCACGGAAAGTTCTGAGATCAGCGAGGAGAAATCAATGAAGTGCCTGAAATTTTTAAAATTACTCCTCAGGCAATGGCTGCAACTTCTGGAACCTCTTCCCTTGCAAGGAATCTCGTGAACTGTTGTTATTGCAAATGTCCTGATGAGGAATTTTGCGTGACCAGACGAACTAGAGTTCTTTTAGTTCTTTCCTTGCCGCCGCGCAGCTGGAGAAATTGTGATTCTTGAGCCCAGGGCATTTTTTTTTGCCACATGAACACTAACGGTTAAAGAAAGTGTCATGACCAGGGGGACAATATACTCTTGACAGGCGTGTCGTCCCCTTAAGCTACCAAAACCGCAGATTGTTCACTGATCGAACCGCTAAATCCATGCCTCTTCACCAGTTTCGATGTTAAAATTTCTTCTCGGGAGTCCTGGGAAAATTTGGAGCGTGTACTCGCAACATTCTTCATGGGCCCCTTTCTGCTCATCTGAGGAATTGTGCGGGTACCCAATGGCAAGAGATTCATGTGATTCGGAAAAATCAATGCCAGATTTCTTCATTGCTCTTTGATCCAACGTTCGAGTACTCCCCGAAAGAAAAAATACCAATTGGATCCTTGGAATTTGTTAAACATAAAACTCTCATAGAAATTGCGCAAGTATCTTATAGGTTCCTATAGGAACCCTCCAAGGTTACTACAAGAATCCAGCAATATTTGTATTTTTTGAACCCTTTCAGATCAGGCGTCCATTCCAATGGACATTGCATTTACATTGTGTCTATGACAATTTTTTTAGGATTCTCGTGCCTTTGCGCTTCATATGACACTACAATGGCAGCAATTATGCATGGCTCAGTTCCATCAGAGGCCCAGTAGCCTTCTTTCCCCCCATTAGTTTTGTAATCTTCAATTGTTTAATTGAAAGCACGAAAATTTCAATCGCAATCACAAAAGGGCTAAAAAAGACAAAAAAAGGAAATTATTCCGAAAGCGACCTTAATTCAACTCAGAAAGGATTAGTTTCTTATAAGATCCTATGAGATGTTTTCGTAGCGAACCTCGATAATATCATGTACCACGTATAGATATTCGGTCTATTGAATCAAATTTTCCACTTTATGGATGCTTTCCTCGTTGAAATCATCTGTAAGGCCTCTACTGAGAATATTATCTTCAAAGTCAGTTCGTTCTCTTCTTAAGCTCGGCTTAAATTATGACTGTGGAAAACACCCTGCTCAAAATGGACCAGAAACTTCGCTTAACCCTTTGGCATCGGGGAAGGTGGCGCTGAACCATCCCCTCAGACGGCTGAATCGACTCCCCTGGATTTGCAAAACAATTAAGTCTTATTGCCTAAGTCTTATTGGAATTAATTCGGGTTCGCTGAATCATGCGATCGCTTAGACGTCTTTATAACTGAACCGCGCCACTGAGAAGATACCCTTTCGGTGGGGGAATGCAGGAGGTGCCAGAAAACTCCAGATAAAATTTCGGGGAAATCCCTTGTTCGTGACGGATTTAAACAAACTCGCGTGAATATGCGTCAACCGGCGCTAACATAGGCTGGAGTGCATATGCGGCAAACGACGCTTAAGGGTTAAATAAAAGTCTATTATCGCTCCATGGTGCTTAATGAGGGATCACCTATATTTTTCTGACTTTTAAAAATTATTAAGGATGAAGTTCTGCTTCAGTCAGATGAAACTTCCTCTCAATGGTTAGAAAAGAACATATTTAAACCTGCTTGAACCAATATCCCTTACGAAAATGCTTCATAGGATTCCAATTGGAACATATAGAAATCTTAGAGCGTTCCTATAGGCCCCATAGGGTTCAGTTTGGGACATATATGGTTCCTTATAGAACCTATAGACTTCCCTACAGTACCTGTAGGGTTCGCTTTAGGACATATAGGGTTCTCTATAGGGCCTATAGGGTTCCCAATAGAGCCTATATGGTTCCCTATAGGACCTAGAGGTCTCCCCTTAGAACCTAGAGGACCTATAGGGTTCCCTATAGGGCCCATACGGAACCCTATATGCCTATAGGGTTCCGTTTGAAGTTCTCTTCTAGGCCACTAGATGGAAGTGTTGGGTTCTCGCATTTCTCACAAAAGTGCCCTCCCCTTACGCAATGAATTATCTCTCACAGAGAGTTTTGAACATCCCGAAATGTCTCACCTTGCCTCATTGTAGCAAACAATAACCTTCGACATTTTCTTATTTGTCATCCCCATCTTCCAGATAGAGTCATGGAGTTCAGGCCAGAAATATGCCCATTTTCCCTTTGAAAGCCACGTACGAGAAGAAGTAGACCTTATCCGAAAGGAGTTTCAGTAAAGAGATATACCCGCAAGTTCCGTCTTCTATTTCCTTAGGAGGTGAGAGAAGAATGATACTTCACTCTATTGAAGGAAGTGGACGCGCAATCTAGCGACATATGTGGGTCTGGGCAGTACTAGTATGTTAGTAATGCAAGTACTCCTACCATGGGAAAAACCCTAATCGGTGATTGACTTACACTAAAATGTTGCGTCAATATTGACAATGGTTGCCTTTTCCGTCATAATGCCTGGGTTTCGAAACCAAAAAAATCCTCCCCGAATCCTACAGGAAAGGAGTCCCATAAGACCCTATAGGGATCCTATAGGATCCTATAGGTTTTCCATGTTTCAAAAACCCCTGTAGTAAAGTCTATAGGTTTCCTAAAAGACACTTCCGTAAGAGTAACAGCCATGCGAGTGACGCTAAAGAATTTAAGAATTAATTTATACTATTTCACAATTAAACATTGTGGCGTTTCAGCACAGACTAGAACTTGAACCCCAAACACCGAAGACTAACCCGAAGACTTTCCCTCTGGCAGGCCTGATACAGGTCCACCAGACTGAAATATATATATATTTAGTAAAATATTGAAAGTGAGAATAGGAAGGGGTTTTCCCATCAGGAATTCATCAAAAGATCGATATATGGTAATAATGATGAATCGAATCAAATGCAAGAGTTGGAAATCCGAATAGGACTCAATCATTTCATCTAGGGAACTTCAAATTCAAGCTCTGGGATCCAGCATTGTCAAACATGTAAAAAAAAATTATGATTGAGACATGCAAAAAAATAAGGATATTATGCCTCTGGCGAGGCGATTAGACTCACTTCCCAAAGCATAGTGAGGAGTAAAGCGAATTCCCACGAAGACTCCGGATGACTTCCGGGACCGCTCGAGTAAGGCCGATGATAGTGCCGAGAGAAATGAAGACATTCCACAATATCAGCGCCTTCGTCAGGTTCCACGGCGGGCGGGATCGCATCCATCGGCGACCCAAGAACACGAGGATTAGGTAGACAGCAGCAATGACGAAGGAGAGGGTCCAGTTGTGCATGAACCATAATTGGACATACTCGGCCCGTTCCCCGTTCAATTCCCAGTCGAAGATGAAGTAGTACGGCAGGTTCTCCGTGTTGTGGGGGATACCGCTCTTCCTCACATCCTCGTGATACCTCATGCATTGCTCGTACCGCGATAGCCGCGGGTAGATGCGGTAAGGAGGCTTCGGGTAGGCGGACAGATCGTCGAACATCGCTGCGCAGGAGGAGAATCCGCACTGGACTCGGGCTGAACCGTTCTTTCCTTCTCGTGGAAATTCCATGGTCGTTTCGTACACACACTGCAATTCTTTTCCAGCAACAAGTCCTATGCCGCATTCCTTCCAGGAAAGGGGAAAGAATTTTACCACGGATATAAATCACTCGCATCTTAAGAAGTTCATTCACGCAGTCCATCTATTGCAGGGTAACCAGACGCGTATGGTCGAAGAGCGTCTGCGAGGAAGTTGTCTGCCAACCCACTAAAATTAGGTGCGAATTCTTCTGCAATTGTAGCTCACCCCATCCTTTGTCTCATGATGCGGTGTCGAAATCCTCAAACTCCTCCCTAGCACGCAATGTCCCCATCCAGGACAAGGCAAATCGACCTCATTCCTCAGGTTACGACCACACGTGGAGTCGGTCGCACCCGACCCATATCTGGACCATCGCGCATTTCTCTCCACGTGCGTGTATGACCTCAAAGGAAAGGCTCGCTTTAGGAATTCAGTCCATACAGCCAGAGATATAGGGCCATCGAACCCGTAGTTACTGGCTGCCTCACCTGACCAACGTTTCCTTGCTTGGATTTTTAACAGAATGAAAATGCATTTTCAGATCGTATGAGCGATGGTTTGTTGATAAATCCAAAATATGACTCAAACGGGAGTAAGGAGATGGCAAAATCCCCCGAAATGAATGTACAGCTGCAATTCATCATCTAATATATTTTATGTAGATGATCGCGACTGACTGACTGATTGACCCCTTAAGAAAATGTCTTAGGGAAGTAAAAGTAGGGCATCTCGCGTTATTCTTCCGTTGTATGCGGCGCTGATAACACCCCAACTGGAATATTGCATCCAGTTTTGGAGGCCTACAAATAAGGGCGATCTGTTGGCGCCCGAGGGAGTACAGAGGAGGGCCACAAGAATGATTAAGGAGGTTAGGGGACTATCATACGAGAAGCGTTTAGAAGTGTACTCGCTCGAACGAAGGTTAAGGAGGGGCGATCTCATCCAGGCTTTCAAGATAATTAAAGGAATAGATAATGTCGAATGTGGTAGGTTTTTCCAGTTTGATGACAGCATGAGAACGAGAGGCAACCGACTTAAGTTGCGCAAACCGCAGGTGCGGCTCATGTCGAGACAGGAATTCTTTACTTGCAGAGTGGTGAACGCGTGGAATGCGTTAGATGACGAAGTAGTGGCTGCCCTTCTGTTACTATCTTTAAGAAGAAACTAGATGCTCCCTTACGGAAATGTCCTATAGGAAACCTTTAGCTATTTCTTATAGGAAACCTATAGACTTTCCTATAGGTTTTTGAAACACGAAAAACCTATAGGATCCTTTAGAATCCTATAGGATCCCTATTGGGTCTTATAGGTCTCCTGACCTATAGGACCCGGGGAGGATATTTTGGGTTTCGTAAATCCAGGCATTACGACGGAGAAGGCGACCGGTGTTAATATTAGCGCAGCATTTCGGTGTAAATCAAAAACCGATCATGGGTTTTTCCATGGTAGGGGGNTCAACAGTTCCTTCTTTGTCATCCCCATCTTCCAGATAGAATCATTGAGTCCTGTGAAGAATTATGCCCTTATTCCTTTTAAAAACCAAGTACGAAAATGAGTGGACTCTATCCAAATGGAGTTTCAGTAAAGAGACGTGCTCGCAGGTTCTGTCTTATATTTCCTAAGGTCGAGAAAAGAATACTACTTCTCTCTATCGAAGGAAGTATACATGCAATCCAGCGGCATATGTGGGGCGGGGTCATAAATTATGTAGACCCCCGCAGTACTGGTATTAATAATGCATGTCCCTCTACCATGGAAAAACACCTAATCGGTTTTTTATTTACACCGAAATCCTGGGCCAATATTAACCCCTGTCGCCTTTTCCCTCGTAATGCTTGGATTTCGAAACTCAAAATATCTTCCCCGAGTCCTTTAGGTCACGAGACCTATAAGACCCTATAGGTATCCTATAGGATTCTAAAGGATCCTATAGGTTTTTCGTGCTTCAAAAACCTATAGGAAAAGTCTATAGGTTTCCTATACGAAATAGCTAAAGGTTTCCTATAGGACATTTCCGTAAGGGACGCTAATTCTAACCATGTTCTATATATAATGAAACTTGGCACGCGCGTACCTATTAGGATCCTGTCTCCAGATAATTTCCAGCATTGGAGGTGCATGCCCTGGGAGCACACGTCTTGATTGAATTGTTTTCAAGTCAGTATTTTTTCTCAAGTCAAACGGAGAGAAATGGAAAGCTCAATCTTGGTATGATCGTGACCGCTGACAAATTGAGTTGAGAAAAAATGCTTCCAACAAATCCCCTATGGGAACGTTCTTAAGGTTATTTTTTTTTACCCTAGTGAATCGGCCAGAAACGGGAAGGCGAAATTCGACACAAACATAGCTGACGAAGTATTCAGGAAATTTTCAACTTTGGTGGTGAATCCCCCCTGGGCACAGCTTTTCTATGGATCTTTTTTTTTCCAAATATCCACCAGCAAAAAGAGCAAAGGAATATGACTGGAACTTGGTGGACACGGAGTTTTCTGAACTCCGATTAACGTAAAAAAAAATATCATTTTTTAAATAAAACCCCTCGGGGCCCATTTTTCTGGATCTTTTTCAATTAAAAAAAACAGTGATTGAAAGTTGAAACTTGGCTCAGAAATACCAGTTCGATTGCTGAGTGCAAAAAAATTCTCATTTTGAAATGTCCCATCAAGGCAAATTATGGAAATTATGAAATATGAAGTTATGCACACAATAAATCATTGCAGTGATAAGTTCGATGGTAAAAAATCTCGATTACATCCCCTCGCACATATTTCGATAGGGACGTAATTTGAATAAGTTTTTTGCCACTTAGAAAATATATTAATGAATCAGTCACCATCTTTGATGAAGGGCGCGACCATAGCGAGTTTGTTTGCCCGAAGGAAAAAAAACTAATTATGTAATTGTTTAGATGGGTCTAATGCACATGGGCGATGGTGAGTGACTGACGCTAATTCTAACCATGTTCTAGGCATGATGAGAGGCTGAAACTTGGTACTTAAATAGCTGTTAGGTTGCTGACTCCAGAAAAATTGCAACTTTTGGGGTACTTGCCCTGGGGGCACATTTTGGGGGGTCTGACTTTCCAAGCCTATGCCTAACCCACATATGGACGCTTAGGCTAATACCGCTCTCATACACTGTCTTCCTCCAACTCCAACTCCAACACTGTTTTGTTGTATATTACAGATGAGGTTCGACATCGAAGGAACGTACCCGGAAGGATCAGTTTTCGTTTCAACTGACCTACCTGTATATCTAGCCCTTGGACAGACGCTCAGGCCCACATTAATCTGGACCGACCCATTCGCATCCAGGAGCTTTTCAGCCTATCAGAACGATATTCCCGATGCCTTAGCTTGAGCCGTGATGCTATAGGTCTATGCTATAAGTCTATAAGTCTAATAAGTCTATAAGTCTAATAAGTCTATAAGTCTAATAAGTCTATAAGTCTAATAAGTCTATAAGTCTAATAAGTCTATAAGTCTAATAAGTCTATAAGTCTAATAAGTCT